CGTGCGGCGAGCAAACTCTCAGCCGGGCCTCGGTCTGCTGGCGGAGCTGGGGCTCCTCAGCCTCAGCGCGGAAGGCCCGAGGCGGGAGCGGAGCGCGGTTCTCCACCGCCGGCAGCTCCTCTGCCAGGGCCTTAGGTGGAGGGAAGGCGGAGGCAGGCTCTACTCGGAGGTCCAAGGTGTAGGGCGCCGGGCACACGTGGCTGCAGGGAAAACTGTTTTTAAAAGTTAGGAAAAGTTTTCAGATTGAGCGTGGTCAGCCGCAGGTATGGGGAGCCATCGTTGTTCTCTCTGTTATATCCCCAGAAATACTAAAAACTCGACAAGGCCCAGAGGAAGCTGCTAGAGTTGGATCTAGTCGCTTGGAGGGGTGGTTTGGACTAGAGACCTCTTGAGGTCTCTAAATTGTCCTGTGATTTCAACACAAGTTGGTAAAGTTGTTTTTGTTGTCAAGAATAAGAATATTAGCCTTTAATTATGGAGAACATGAGCAGTCTGAGACTAATACTTCAGCTTGAAAGTTTTTGTGTGTGTTGTTCTGAAGATCACCACAAAAAATAAAGTGCCTTTTTTTTTTTTTTTTTTTTCTTTTCAGTGTGCTTTTTTTGTGCAGTTAATGTTGCATCCTCTACGGAAATCGGTATGGGTATGCCAAGGCATAAGAGCCATTTCTTGGAATCTAAACTGAGGAACTGGTGCATTAATCTTGGTTCTTGCAGCTGAGAATACATGGGCAAACTTAAACCTACCTCATTTCACTGCACGCAAAGTTTTTTTTTGTCTCAGTGTGGTGGTAACTTGCAGGTCAGGGTCTAATAACATGATCCCACGAGATTTTAAGCTGGTCTGAGTTGTTCCTGTGGCACACCTACCATCCGCTCAGGTGTCTATCCATTCCTACCCCTTGTCCTCCATGAGCAGGAGCAGAAAGCTGTGTTTTCTTACCGTACTGTTAATTTCTGCCAGTTCAGCTCTTTGAATTGGCTCCCTTGAGTCCGACGAGAATTTGTTCTGATGGAGGGGAACAGATGGGAACATAGCACCTCCAATTTAGGATAATTTATACTCCCAGCAAAGTTACTCTTGGGTGCAGTTTTATGTGTTAAAACCCCACATTGTTCCCTTTACAAATAGCAAGAAGAGATTCAGGGAAAAGTGTGAGGTGATTTTGGGGGGGAAGAAGTGGTCTAAGTGGCTCACTAAGTGTTCTGTTTGCAACAGTTCATGAAGTCTTTTAAAGAAACTCCTGCAAGATGAAATAGTCCTTCATTGGAAACCTTTCTTTGTTTGGTTTGATACTCTTTACAAAACATTAAAAGATGGCTAAAACCTTAAATTTGGACTTCGTACGTACATTTTCAGTAACAAATAATTAACATCTGCTTCTCTCAGTGGTGATTTAAAATCATGAGTTTCTCGTGTGTTCTGTTGCAAAAGCGATGCACATGGGTGTGTATCCATAAGGTTCAGTTCAGGAAGTTGTGAAAACATGGTATGAAATATGTCAGTGAATGGTAAGCGCTTGCTCAAAGGTCAGCTCAAAGTGCCGTCTCTGTATGGACAGAGTCAAGAAAGACCTACGCCGCTCTATTCCACACTGAAGAGAGTCTCTTTAGGCACCGTAACTGCGATCGGAGAGTCAGGATTAGGGATCTTATGTTCTGGGCATGTTAAAACCCTTTGTAGAGCTCGTAGATTAAAAGATTACAGTAAATTATGTGACTAACCCTGGCAAAGAATTGCTGCAGAAATAACAATCTAAATTGAAGAATTCATTGGGTGTTTTTTATGTCAGTAGTGCAGGGAGAGGAAAGCTCCCAAACCTTTAGCTGCACGTGTTCTTAGTGGAGTGTACATGGGGAAAAAAAGAGTTTGTTGCCTTACAAGAAATAGTTGAATATTTGTGCTGAGAAGGACATGTCTTTTCCCTCAAGGGCCTGCAGTTTCACTGAGATGCTTCGCTTTGTTTCAGCTTCATAAATTTGGGAGGAGAAGGCTTTTCTTTCAAATGCCACCGTGTCTCCCATGACCCCATGTAGCCACTAATGTCTGTCGCAACGAGCGGGGATTTTTTGATTAGGAAAGAGAAGTTTGTCGAAAGGACTGACATTTTTCTGAATGCTGTTTGCCCATTAGTCTTAGTTTTCTTTAATATGGTAGGTGTAGCGTAGTCATTGCATCTGTCCTTTGCAGGCTGATTAATTTACTTAATTTCTCAACTCCTATGCCGTTTTCATAAATTCAAAAATGGGTTTTCCATAATTAACAGGAACTTGGCAAGGGAAGGGTGAGAGAAGAGAGGCTGGGAAATGATCCTTAGAAATCCTTCTCTGAGTGCATAATCCTCTTTAAAACCAGGAGTAAAATATTTTGAGCAGTCCCTCAATAGCATGAAAACTTCTTTGTCCGTAAGGATCATCTTCTACTAATGCAACTGATACCTTTAAGGATGAATTCTGTAGATGGGTTTGGGGAGGGGAGAGAATTGTCCAAATGTAATTGTGTGTGTGAATATATACATATGGCCTGATAATGAAGACTAAAACCTAATAAAGAGCTAGGAAGGGAAACTGTGTGTGGAATATTCTTGTTAATATCAAGCTTCTAGTCAGTAAACTCTGAAATTTGCTGCAGTGCTTCGGTCTTTGCTAAACATTTTTAATGTCTATACTCTTCTGTAATGTAAGAATCTGTCCAGAACTGTTTTTGTTCTGTCCTCTTCAGGCCACGCATTTGTAGGCAGAGGAAGGAGAAAGGAGATGGTCATAAAACTGCAAATTAAACATGTACAAAATATTGAAAGGATTTCTCGGAAACAAACTGAAGGTCCATAACTGATGGAAAATAAGGGAGGGATGTGTGAAAAAGACACTTTTAGCATTTTGACTAGCATTCTTTGTACCTCAGTCCTTCCCTGAGCTTCCCCTGCACTGACCTCCATTTTCCCCATTTGTATTGGAGCCCATATGATTTCTAAGGCTTTCTTCTTTCCTTACATAGGTAACAGAAAGGAAGAGGAATGTCTTCCTTCATCTCCAAGTTCTCTGGCTATTTCAAGGAGTAATAGAGGAAGAATTTCACTTATTACTTTTCAGTCTTCTGGCAATGTAGGTATCTGCTCAGGTCCTTCTAGAAAGGAGTCTTTGCTATTTTGCCATGCTTTTGTGTTGTGTTCATCTTGTGAGCACACTCAGATGCTACCTCAGCTTCCAAACTTTTCTTTTTGTCTGGGATAAATGTGGAAGAGAG